AGAGAGAAATTTCTCAGTAGGTAAATACTTAAAGATTCACCTTGAAGTTATTAAAAAAATAATTACTTTTGTATATACACAGAGAAGCTTATTTCTACGTCTAATGTAATCTTGTAATTTTTGGTGGGTGGAAACTGAGACTTTAATCTGCTACTATACTAAAGAAATACTTTTGATTTATGTCTCTTCAGTTTTTACTGATATTGTAATCTATGTAATCTCATTTTTAATGGAATTCATGCTGTAGGAAGCAAATAATTGTCCAGTTTTTATTAGATATGAAAAGAATAAGGCATTTTTCTTCCTTTCCTCTTATCCCCTCTGTGTCCTTAAAAAAAAAAAAAAAAAAAAGACTACTTGTGAATTCTTTTTTTCTGCAGTCCATTTAGATTTGGATAATGACCAAAGATCTTAGGGAACAAGTATGCTAAACACTACTGGGTCACTTCTAGAGCATTTCACTGAACATACTTCGTATCTTTAAGGCCTCGCACTTCTCTGCTTTGACTAAATAGCGCAAACCTAATTTAAGAATTTGGCATCTTATAGTAATACGCTTTTATCCCAGTCGGCTGCTCTGGTGTATAAAATGGTAGCTTCAGTTGTAGCTAAATAACATCAAGTATCTGTTTTACAGGTAAAATGCTGCCTCATCCTGCTATTTACAAAGATAGAGATGTTGACATTCGCTAAATGTTTATTACAGTAAAGGACACATTGCCACAAATCCCCTCAAAGCTCTCCCCTTAGTTTGAAAACACTTATCTCATGATTGTTGCCAGTCAGGAGCTGGTCTGATAGTCCTCTTTTGTCAGTGCCTTTAGGAGCCATGATAAAAAATATGGCGAGTGCAGCGCTTAGCCGGTGCCATCCGGCTGAAAGGCAGGTTTGTAAGAACATTACTGTGTGACCTCATCCACCCCTTCACCAGATTCGGCACCATGCAATGGTGGGCCCTTCCCAAGGTCAAAATGACCATGAAAGTAAATGCTCTGAGCTGACGCAGGACACTGAGGTATGAGGGTGCAACTAGGACACTCAGCAGAGAGAATTTCTAGAACTGCTTCAGAAAGTGGCAAGAATGGTGTATTTGATGGGAGAGGGAGTACTCTGGGAAGGATAGATGGCAAATGTGTCTTTCCCTGTAATACAATGTTTGTTTGTTTGTTTATTTATTTATGGCAGAACTGGGGCTTGAACTTAGGCACTTGCACTTGCCAGGGAAGCGCCTATTCTACTGAGCCATCTCCCTGGCCCAATACAGTGTTTTAAAATTTAAACATTCACTGTAGTTTTGATTATACTTCATTTTTAGTGAGATCTTGTCTCATAACATCCAGAAAAAGAGAAAAATATATGTATGTAGAGAATGTAGCCTGTTATCAGTTTATTAAAGGTAGAAATGGAGAAACAGATCAGGCTTATGGTATTAATGGCCCTGGTTCCTGCCCTGATCACAAGAATAACACAAAACAGAATTGTTAGGCAACTTTCCAGTGCTCCAAGGAGGAAAGGCTCATTTTGGTTCATGGTTGCTCAGCTTCACTGCTTTGGGTCTGTGGTGAGGTGGACCGTGATGGCGGGTAGAGCTGCTCACCTCACGCTGGCCAGGAAGAAGTGCCTGGGTGCTGATAGCCCAAGACCCCCTTCAAGGGCACACCTCTGGTGACCTCACTGTCTCCCAGTAACCTCCATCTCATGCAAGTTCCAGCACCTCCCAATCGTGCCACAGGCTGGTGATCAACATGGCCTTTGGGCACATTTAGGATTCAAACCATATTAATAATTATTACTGGTTTGCTTCCATGACCAGTACGGACATAGCTCTGCATATCTACAGGACATACTCTATCAATATATTTTCAGAATTTGTCAGTGATTTAATATTTTTTATTGAGCCCTACCTTCTTCTGTGAAACCATCTCTCCTCACTATAATTAGTCAGCTCTGAAGACGGCACTGAGATTTACCCTAGCGCCACATTATCAGCTCATCCAAATCCTCTAGCCTCTCTCAGCCACAGTCCGTAGCCACATCCACTGGTGTATATGAGGAAGGTTTAAGGAGAAACTGTCCTGCTGATTAAGAGCTGTCTTCTGTTACCACCAGCAGTATTCCTGAGTGGAAATTTCTAATTTGGGCCCAATTACTTCAGTCCATCTAGGTGGCTCCTTATAGTCCTTCCTTTAGGACCCTGCTCAATTAGGAGCTGCTAAATTGAGATTTCAAAATTCTCATTTTATGATGTTATTTTACTGTGTTATTATTATTTCATTCTGGAATTCTCATGGGTCCTAGTTCATTAGTCTGAATTCACGCTAGACGGCCAAACCTTCCCCTCTGATCTACTTGGGGTCTCTCTTTTTTTTTTTTTTTTTTTTTTTTTCCTACTAGGGGTCTTGTATGCACAATGAAACGGATGATGAGGAGGTACACAGGTACACTCAGGCCAGTCCTGGTCATGGCAAGGGAAGGCCTTCTGATTGCAGGGGCTGAGGTATGTCGGCACAGGGAGGAAGGGCCTGCACATGGATTCAGTGAAAGATGGAACACTCAGTGGGTGCACGATCAAGCGTCAAGTCCAAGGGAACAAAGCACCCACAACCTCCAGAACTACAGCTACCAACCACACACCAGGAGGCCTTCAAGTGACCTCAGCTCTGTGGACCACATGGAGATGGTGACAAGAGATCACGACCAAGGCGTCAATGTCCCTTAAGGCAGCAGAAATCAGACTCCTGGAAGGTTGAGGGCTTCTGGGGTGTCTGTGCCCCAAACAGGACATCTCATTGTGAGTTATTTTTTTCCTCTTCAGCACAGAAATTTCACACTCAGGATGCAGGTAGAAGGCCAGGTCCTTGGGCCATCTCTCATGTGGGGTAATATGACTCCAGTATGTCTACTTTGGTAGAGGGGTTTTATTTACCTATCTTTCTGGTGCTACGGATTGAACCTTGCATGATGTGCTATCCATTAAACTACTCCCCTCCCCGCATGCCCCTGGATTTAATTTACAAGGAGCAGAAATGTGGCAAACTTAAGTTATGATTAAGGAGAAATAACATCGCTAAAGTTTTTTAATCTGTAGAACAGAAAATTTACAATCAGGTATGCTGATAGGCAACGAGAGGATTTTTTTTTTTTTGGTAAAATAACATTTACAACTAAAATTTGTGTGACAGTGTTTTCAATGAATCCAAGGTCTATAGGAAAAGAAAGTGAAACTATATAAAATACATTTTAAAAGTCAAATGTTAAATCATATTTTATGCTTCGTCAGAGTATTTTTCCACCCTTTGATATTTATGAAATTTGAATGCATCTTATCATAAATGTCAAGAGAAACCATTCCGCTGTGATGGTGCCAATGTGCCCACACTTAGGTGCTTATTTTTGTGAAAAAAACTTTTCACTTATGGAAAGCTTACATTTATGGTCTCTGTAGCTATTTGCCTTAGTAGGAGTAACCATAGCTGAATGTTAACTTAAAATTGGATGCTAAATGCCTCTCAATTACATTTTTGTACAGCAGTGAAATATTCTGTTGACTAAGACTACTGACAATAAATATGGCCAACGAATTAAAGAGTACCAGAAAGTTCTAAAATTCTCAAAATAAACCACAGAATTTCTAAAGGCTGGAGACACTGGGAAGCCTACTCATACCCCAGAAAGGATGACTACTGAAACACTCATGTCCTCCCGTATAAAACTTCTGTTTTGACTTCTAACACTAATTTTTATCCATATGTAGTACAATTCAAAAAAGAAAAAAATAAGCTCATAAATCGAGGCAAACTACATACAGACTACTCTGGCCTGAATGTGCGTCCGCATATACATGCTGAAACGCATCGCCAGTGTGACAGCACTGGCAGGCGGGGACGTTAAGAGGTACTGGAGTCAGGGCCACTGTACCAGGGCTTGACGTAGCAGGAGCACAGCAGCAAGTACTAGGTAGGTGCTGGCACCTTGAGCTTGGCTTCCATGGCCTCCAGAACAGAACTTGGAGATAAAATGTCTGCTGTTTTATCTTTTTAGTCAGCGTCTTGCTATGTAACCCAGGATGGCCTTGAACTCAGGGTGATCCTCCTGCTTCAGACTCCCAACTGTTGGCATTTCAAGGATGTGCCACTATGCCCACCTTTGCTTTTGTGTGTGTGTTTCTCAGTACTGAGGATTGAACCCATAGCCTCTGCACTAAGCTATGTCCCCATCCCTTTTCAGTTTTTATTCTGAGAGAAAGTTTCACTAAGTTGCCCAGGCTGGACTTGAATTAGCAGGCCTCCTGCCTGGTCCTCCCAGGGTGAAGTCTGCTCTTTGCATTGCTCGGTCTCAGGTATCCCTTCATAGCAGCACAGATGGATTTCAATACTCTCCCTGACCCTGAAATTTACTGGGAGCCCTCAGAGTGCCGAGAGGTGACAAGCACAGTTCTCACATGGAGCAGTGTGTCCCTCGTGCTGTGCACACCTGTGACTGGCTATGTGTGGTCAAAAGTGGTGTTTAGACTCCCAATGGGGACAAGGCCTAGACCCAAACTTGGATTAGAGGCTAAAAAGAAAGTGGACAAATGCACAGCATCATTAGTTAAGCACAAAGCCTTCCCTCCTGAGAACAAGCAGCTGAATCAGGGGACGGCCTTATAATTCACAGCAGGTTAGAACTGACGACATGCCGCAGTAGGCTACCAAAGAAAGCATACAAAGGCCAGGGCTTACGTGAACTCCAGCTGAACAGCGTATTCTTTTGAGATAAATGGTATTTGGTCTGGGGCCAGGCGTTTCGCCAGCTGCAGAGCGCTGTCCCAATGCTGTAAATCCCTCCTCATCTGTTAGGAAGAAAAACACTTTAATGTCCAAACAGCAAGTTATTTTGCAAACTTGCACCTGTTTTGCCCAAAGTGATTACAAGAATTTTTTGTACTGGAGGTGACCATTCTGTGGCTAACGCGCTACTCCTGCGCATGTTCGGTGGGGCTGCTGGAGCCCACATGGTGAACTGAGGCGTGTCCCAAACTCAATGGTACCTCACAGAACCATTTCTTAATATTTAATTTTGCTCAGTAGGGAGAAATTAAATTTAACAAACCAAAACTAATTTTTCATTTTTTCAATAATAAAAAGTTGCAAGACACTTTACCTTAGGAATTGATAATCTTTTCTTAGACAATTTGAAGCTATATTGCAAGGTGACTAACATAAAATATAAATAAAATTTGAAGTGTTTCTCTCCCTGGTTCCTTCAGTCTTTTTCCAGTGTCTGGCAACACTCTCCAGTATAAAGTAGCCACTTAAGAATCTATCAAGGTTCACTTCTCACCTGACATACTTTTTATATACTTCTCTCTTTTTTTTTGCGGAACCGGGGATTGAACTCAGGCCCTTGCGCTTGCCAGGAAAGCACTTACTCCACTGAGCCATCTCCCCGGCCCTGACATACTTTTTAAAGAGTTAATGATGGCTGCTATTTTTAAAGTGCTGTTCTTTGCCAGGCTCTGAACAAGAGCAGGCTTATTTCACTTTTCACAGCTACCCTTTTGTAATGACCTCTTTCTAGTACCCATTTTAGAGAACCAAACACTGAGGAAAAGAGGCTCATTCCCACAGTCACTGAGGCCACAGAGCTGCAAGGTGACAGGGTGGGCAGTGGGGCTCTACCCTGCCCTCCGCATCCAGTCACTTCCCCCTCAGAGTGTGCTCGCCCTCTCCATTCTTAAGCCATTTCCCTTACACCTTACAAAATTAATGGCCCCCAAGCAAATGCAGAAGAGCCACACCGCCATCTTTGCCTTTGCCTTCACAGCAGCAGCCCTATGGCCGTGGGCACCATCCCAGGTCCTCAGAACCCCTCTGGAATTTTCCCTAAAGTAATGAACTTAAAAAGAAAAATGAAAATGATTGAGCTGCGAATCAGGGCGGTGGTATGGCTCCGTGGGACAGGCTTGCCTAGCATGTGTGAAGCTCTGGGTTTGATCCCCAGAACCGAAAAAACAAATAAAAATGAAAAAGAAGATGAAAATTTGCTGCACAACAATTTAAGAAAGTAAAACCATAATATTAGCTACAAGTGTTTTTTTCAAAACACCTTATTTTACAGTTGTAGGAATACTTGTTTGGCTGGAGTAACTTTAATACTAATTACAATAACTGTTTTTGCATCTACTTTGCAGGCACTGTGCTGAAAGATCTATTTTATATTTTACAGCTATCCTGTGGGCTAGGTACAGCCATCTTCCTTTACAGTGGGGCTGAGGGCCGAGAAAGGTTAAAGAGCCGGTCAAGGTTACTCAGGGCTGCGATCGGGACCCAGATGGGCCCTGTTCATCTGTGCCCTTACCTGCTATGTGACACTGCCCTGTCTCACTGCCCTTGAACTTGTCCTTTGTCCAGTCCTAGTTGCTGTCCTGCAACTCTCAACTTTTTTTTTTTGTTGTTGTTGTTTGTTTGTTTTTTGAGACAGGGTCTCACTATGTAGTTCAGGTTGGCCTTGAACTCACTATGTAGCCCAGGCTGGTCTTGGATGCACAGTGATCCTTCCGCTTCAGCCTCTGGAGTGTGGGGATTATAGCTGTGTGCCACCATGCCCGGCTCACTCTCAAATCTTAATATGCATGAGAATTGCATTCAAGGAAAAAAAGATAGATGGGCCTTGGTTTTCCTGACCGGAAGGCAGAAATTGGCAGTGCTATCTTACAGGATTCGTAGAAGAGCTGAGTGAGGTCCACTGCTCAGAAAATGCCTGGCACATGAGAACACTCCAAATGGTCGTGATACTCCTGCTACACAGTTTTATAAGTTATATAATCTGTTCCCTTGAGACACATTTAAACTTTAAATTATTTAGCAATGCTAACAGTAACACCCCTTTTATGCCTTCACTGAATGCAGAATGAAAATATTTTTTAAGTTAATGAGTACTCCAGGATTCTTGAGGTTGAAATGTTTACTTTTTTTTGTGGAACCAGGGATTGAACTCAGGCCCTTGTGCTTGCCTGGTAAGTGCTTATTCTACTGAGCCATCTCCCTGCCCCTTATTTGTTTTAGGAGGGGAAGGGATGCAGCATTGGGTGCTGAGAAATTTTAACTATATCCGGGTGTGGGGGGAATTCTGTCTCTGCCCTGGTCTTTTTAGGGGCGGGGTGCAGCATGAGGGAGCTGAACCTAGGGCCTTCATATTGAGATACAGCTCCAGCCCTTTTTTGAGACAAGGGTCTCACTCACTCATTAAGCTCCCCAGGCTGGGCTTGAACTTGCGATCCTGTTGCCTCAGCCTCTGAGGCTACTGGGATTACTGGTGAGGGCTTTTCTCTTTATCTGCCACCATACCTCCAGGGCAGCCACAGGGCAGCTGGATGCGAGGTACAGGTCCTGGGCCAGGTTGAAGTCATTCGTAAACATGGCAAGATGTCCGGCCAAAAGATGGTAGTCCTCTATGCCCTGTAGGGAAAAGCAGTTTGATGAGAAGAAACATAACTGTTTTTTTGTTTTTTCCTTTTTTATAACACCACTCAGTAGGAAGTGGTAACAATCTATTAACCTATTGATGCGTTAGGTAAGATTAACTGAAGAAATTTAGAATGTTTGAAAAAATAGTATTTAAACAATTTGAAAAAAAAAGCTAGGTACCTTTATTTGCTCCAAGGACATCACCATGCCAACGTTTCTGATTGTCCGGTACACGAGGATGGCAAGGTCTACCTCCATGTGGTGCAGGCAGCTCCGGGCCAACTCGTCCCACGTGGCGGGGCTGTTCAGAATCTTGCAGATGTCCCAGGCGTCCATGAACCTGACAGGTGGACTTTGCCTCAGTGGAGAATTCTCCTGGCCATTTAGGCGACTTCTAGACCACATGTAATCTACCCTCATGTGCTAGACACACTCTAGAGAATACCTCACAGCCTCTGTTACTTGCAAACAATGAAAATGATGCTTTTTCTTTTATGGAACAGGTAAGTGTTTTTCTTGAACTTTATGAATGTGAATTTACTCCATAAATCACTCCCTTAACAAACAAATCATTCTGTATTTTTGTTGCAGTTCATACACATAAAAATTATCTTTATTCTCCTTGAAGTCTAACAGATTGGTAAAGATCTACCTATAGATATAAATTTAGGTATTTAAAACAGGTCAGCAGATTTAATCCATAGGACAAATCCTATCACTGCCTGTTTGTGTAAACACGGTCTGAGGGGAAACAAGATTGTTTGCAGCCTGTACATATAGGGAGGTCCCTGCTCCTTCCATGTTACAAGCTGGTTGAAGTTAATGTGACAGTGACCCAGTGCCCAAAATAGTCCATTTGACCAGAGCAGACAAATCAAATGGCCTCTGGTTTAAAGGGTGAGCACCAGTGCCACCAGCTAACCTTTTCCTCTGCCTCAGGGCCCATCCCCGTGCCCACCATGCACCCACTTGGTACACATTTACGTGTGCATGTGCTGCTGGCCAGGCACAGTCCCTGTCCTCAGGCAGAGGCAGATGAGCTGCTCCCACTCAGTGTGACCTAGGTCGCCGGGGGCTCACTGCATGTGACCCTCTGTGCTGCGTGCTTTCCATATACTTAGATCACCCTAACAACATTATCCGTTCAGGTACTGCCCCAAATACATCACTGTAACTTTACGGATTACGCCATTGAAGACTAGCTCAGGTCCCTTAGCAATGAGAGGCAAAGTACCTCATCCCAGCTCTAAGGGAGGCCATTGATTGCAAACCTGCCTGGGCTGCGATGGCAGTGGGTCAGGGAGTGCTTCCTGGAAGGGGAGATCTCTAGTGGGTGAAAGGGGCACAGTTAGCACCTGCAGGGACGGGAGGGACACAGCAGGAAGAACCAGGAACAACACTGATGTCGGGCGGTCCAGTGGGAGCAGCTGAGGCTGAGGGCCTTAAATTTTTCTCTTGGAGGCAAAGGAAGTCACTGAAAGATCCTGAGCCATGGACTACGAGGATCAGAGCTACATTTCCAGAACGTGTGTAGAATAGAACAGATTGCCATGAGGCTATGGGCCAAAGAAAGAGTGGCTAGATGTGGTGACATTTTATATTGTACCCAGTGAGGCTCTGAGTTAGGATGAGGGAGGACAGGATAGGACCTGGGGGTGTGGAAGTGGGGGCCTGGGGATGGTCAGGAGTTTGGTGTGGATGAGTATGAGAAGCGCATGGGCTTCCAAGCACTTGGGTCTCGGGGGGTGATTGTGAACACAGGGCTAAACCCAAGACAGTTTTACTCATTTACTTGTTTTTGGAACCAAGCTCTATGGATGGTGGCAAAGTCACAGGAGTAGCAGAGACTCAGCCAGGAAGAGTGACCTAAGGAGGAGGAGCTCTTGGGACCCGAGGATCAGCTCTGTTTAAGACATGATTAGTAGAATTAGAGCCACAGAGGAATTCAGTAGCCCGAAGAGGTAAGGAAAAATATCAGGAAAAGGTAATCTCAAGCACAGCAAAATGAAACCTCACATGATAAAATCAAAATGATGTCAAAATAATTAGTTTTATTTGCATTTCACAACAACTGGACTTTTGAGTGCTTAGAAACTTTTTTGTTCTGAAGAGTTTTCTTTTTGAGATAGGATCTCACTGTCTAGTGTAGGCTGACCTTGAACTCCATATGTAGCCCAGGCTGGCCTCGAACTCATGATAATCCTCGTGCCTCAGCCTCCTGAGTGCTAGGATGTGAAGGGCTTTTCCTGTAATAAAGCTTTTCTCATGATGATGAGAACATCTGCCAGGAGCACTTCCTATGGAATTTATGTACATTTTTATATCTGTTATGTTACCTGATGTGCAAACAGCTCTGTGAAATAAACAAGGCATGCATGGTTGTCTGCCTACACTGGACAGGACGGTACCTGGAATGCCGTGACAGCAAGGGAGGGGCTCCCTCCCACACAAGCACCTCCGACCCACCTCTGGAGTGTCAGTGTCTGTGCCAACATTTGCCGCAGTTCCTCGGGCCCCGCGTCCTTTGAACTGCTGAGGAAGCTGTGGGTGCTGAGGTAGACGGTGTTTGTTTTTCCACTCTGTGTCTGGCAGGTCAGCTCTCCATTGTATAGGAGCAAAGGTTTATGAGCAAAGGGAAGTTTGGTGCTACCAGCCCAAATCACCTTGGATCCTACAGTAATAGGAAAGACACCGTGAGGCTGAAACCCAACACTCAGCACAAAGAGCAGAAAGGAAGGCTGGAACGTCACTGACACGGAGATTCGTTTATCAGTGCATGCAGATGTGGGTCAGTACCTTGTATAGTGTCCTTGTGAAAGACGTAAGTATACACCTTATCATCATCGTAAGCAATGAACACGCCTTTATCCAGTGGCCAGTTTTCCCAAAGAACACCTTTAATGGCTGGTGAAAAGTCAGGAATCTCATAGGTTGCATCGTTAACCTAGAAAAGAGGATTAGTGGGACTGTCCTAACCGCAGCAAGAGGGAAGTTTTTCTTCCCATTCTGAACTACATTGGCTTGAAAAGAAAACCAGCTACTAGGCAGGTCAAGGGTAGGATCTAAAATTCAGTGAACTGATATGAAAAGCTACAAGGCTTAACACAATGGCTTCAGGGAAAGAATGAGAAGTTGAAGCTGTTCAAGACAACAGAAATTCAAATTATGATTGTGTCTGTGCTTAGAAACACTTTAATAACACTGAGTCTACAGAAACAGAAATTGAGCTATCATTTGCAATTTAAGTAGATTATCCTGGGAATGCTTTATTTCAAAAAACTTAGCTGCAAAGAATTACAAACATAAATTTACTATTATAGTGATATAACCTATATAAAGAATCAATTCACATAACTTCTACGAATTTAAGCCAATAGGATTATATATACCCTAAGTAGAGAATTGAAATTATGTGCATTCTCTTTGCTCTGCCTTTCTTTCAAAGTAAGAATGAGATATAAAATTCCCACAAACAATAACAATACACAGTGCTGCATTGTCTAATATAGTAGTTATTATAAAGCCCACCTATAGTCATTTAGCACTGAAATACGCCTAAACCAAAATGAGAATGGAAGACCCAAAAACTCCACCAATAAGCTACTCAAATTAATACACAAATTCAGTAGCACAGCAGGATACAAAGCCAATACCCAAAAGTCAATAGCATTTTTCTACACAGATAACAAACACACTGAGAGGGAAATGGAAAGAAACAATACCTTTTACAATAGCACCATGGAAAATGAAATACCTTTGAATTAATCTAACTAAAGAAATCAAAGATCTATTCAGTGAAAATTACAGTACTCTGAAAAAAGAGATCGTAGAGGATTTCAGAAAATGGAAAGATATTCTCTGCTCCTTGATAAGAAGAACCAACTTTTTTTTTTTGGCGGAACTGGGGATTAAACTCAGGCCCTTGCACTTGCCAGGGAAGCACTTATTCTACTGAGCCATCTCCCGGTCCCCCAAAGATTTAACTTTTTTTTTTTTAAGAACCAACATTGTGAAGATGGCCATACTTGCAAAATTGCTGTACAGATTTAATGCAATCCCTATCAAAATACCAACAACATACCTCACAAACCTAGAGAAA